TTAATCAATATAATTTTAAACTGATATTCTTTGTTTAGAAGACAAAGTATTTTGGAGTAACATGATAATTAATCAAATATTAAGTAATATTACCCAAACGTCAATCTTTACTAGTACACCGATTTAGCAATTCGATTGGTCAATGATCATTTAGTAGATTGACATAGAATATAGGAACATAAACTTATTTATAACTTATTCCATTTTTTATTTATTATAATAATAGAACCAAATCACAAAAAGAAATTAAATTTCGTACGAGTAAAAATAGAGAATTATCATTTATCCTCAGTAGTTTCTCCCTGATTGACTAATCCAAAAGCAAACCTATTATTGGGTAGCAATGCATCGCACTGGCAATTAATTACAGATCCTGTAAAAATAAATGTTATTGATATTGATCTATATTTACAAAGATTTGTCATTATAAATTTATTGAACAACTTCATGCAAATTATAAGATGTTACACTCAACAAAGTATACTGTTATTAGGGTCTGCAAATGCCCATGCCCGGTACATTAACACTAGCCCAGGAACCAATGCCTTATGCCCATACCTATGCCTATAAGTATAAAAGTGCATAAAGTACTAGGTAGCATTAAAGGTATAGGCACAAGTTGCCAGACACTAGCAAAGACAAAATGCTGGGCACAAATACCGCCAGGCATAAAGAAATAATAATACCAAATTTCCTGTGCCGTATCTAGGTTGTTTGTTGGATAAAGCATGCATGGGTTTGCAGAACCCTAACTTTCATTTATCAGACTGTTCGTTAGATTCAAATAAATTGAATAAATACTAGGAATTCAACTTGTCAATCTGGGAACCTACCAATGGCGTATATCGTATTAATGAAAAATACAGAAACCAAACATTCTTGACAGAAAATATTAAAAATATTTATATATAGATTATCCGGCTAATGGAACTATTAGCCAGCTAAACGGCTGCCAAATAACTGGCTTCATCATCTTCAACTAGTCTAATTAGGTTAACCGGATAACCCATATATTACTGACAACCCGTGTATTACTGACAACCCGTGTATTACTGACAACCCGTGTATTACTGACAACCCGTGTATTACTGACAACCCATGTATTACTGACAACCCGTGTATTACTGACAACCCGTGTATTACTGACACAACCCGATTTGGTACCCAAAGTTTAAATTTATGCCAGGTTGAATCTCTAATAAGGAATATTTATATTTGGGTTGACCAACTATAAATTTAAAGTTTTTGTTTATATATTGTGTAAATTTTGTAATAAGTAACACATCTACCTATTTTACGTGTATGTAGAAGTTGGATGTTCAATCAACATACGATTTATCGTTTACTGAAGATACATAAAATTTAGAATAAGGCTTGGATATTCTAAGAATAGGTGACTTCCCATAAACATAAAATACACATTATTTTTAGATGCAAAGCATCCTCATTCCATGAGACACAACCATGTATGTACACGTATATTTCCTGACTATGTGTTGAATAGCATCCACAGACTATATTTACAAATATTTATACTATTTTATTTGGTCTGAAATAGCAATACGTATTAAAATTTTTGCCGATTTTTATTATGGTAATACAGGTCATATGAAATTAGGTATATGGTGTTACTCTGCAGAATCATTTCTCACAGTTGATTTTTTTATTAATAAATATTATGAATAATAACTAAAGCATGAAGAAATACGAAAAGATGGAACAAAGATAACTGATAGTGTAACTTTGAAAACAAAATCTAATAATGGTTCATTACTTTGAAAATTTCTAAACGAAAAATAAATATAATTTCTTTATTTGTATAATATCAGTTCGGCAAAAAAAATATTAAATAAAGAAGGGGCCATCACTGTGTCCTAATCTTTTATTTTTACATGCTTTTTTTACATGATTTTTTATAATGTAATTTGCGATTAGTCACCCTAACGTTACATGCATGTGGATTAACATTCAATTATTGTGCTTAAATCAACTTAATAGTATTAGATATTTATGACAACGTACTATTTAGAAAACTCAAGAATCTTGATAATAAGATTTTTGACCATAAACAAAAATTTGAAGGTATCCAATATTAACATTCAAGATACAGAAAACTCTAGCACATTCTTCAATAAAAAAATGAGTTGATCGTATTACTCTGTAATCTCATAAAAATCTATATCGGATATATGGATCTATATTGAGTATGTATTACAAACATTGTATTGATATTTTATCATATACCCGATAAATAATTTATTATACATAGCAAAGTATTTGGTTCCAAATTCTATATTGATACATTGTTAGAGGCCAACCCGCTAAAAATAATGCCTGTTTTCTATTCTGGTACTCGTGAACTTGATGATTATCGTACCAAATGATGTAAATATCAAAATTATTGACACATGGCACCTAATATAGCGAAGGAGTATTATTGCTTCATTAGGATAAGCTCGTTGTCATGTTTCTTGCACTGTGAAATAAATTTTATGATGATAACTATAATTCTGTAGAACTTTTACACAAACTTTCTCGCAGCATCTAATAATGTATATTTCAGTGATTAAAAACCTATGCTATACCCAAGAAGGTAGAATAACTACGTATGGCTTCATTGGAATCATATGATCCAGAAACCAAACCCGGTCCCAAACCGGTTTCTTTATTCTGATCAGTCTAAGAGAACAATATCGATATTTGTGCCTTTTCATGCAAATATTATATAATGTCATTGACTGCCTAATTTCTAGTTAAGAAAATTGATAACGAATCATTCTTCGAAATATTTTTTTGTCTTGTAATAAAATTGCGTAATTAATTCGCAATCGAAAAAAAACCACAAGTTATATAAAGATGTTTTTTTTTTCTTTACTACATTATTATTCTTATCACTTCTTATTTTACTTTTTTTATATCAGCTATATTACTATATACTGTTTTATTTATATACTATTTTTTATTTATAATTTTTATTATGATTTTGTGTAAGAGTAAAAATGTAGATAGATACTCGAACTTAAACTCTAGAAGATAAATTAAAGAAAGGTTTTACAAAAGTGAGAAAATGCGAATGGATACTCAAACTCTGAAAGATAAATCAAAAGAAGGTTTCATAAAAGTGTAAAAATGTGAATGGGTATTCGAACTCTAGAGGATAAATTGAGAGAAAGCTACCTTAATGAAATACAAGTATTAATAATTTAAGGGAAACAATTCACTTGAAGCTAGAAACTAAGCCATGACAAGTACCGGTGAAGTGAGAAACGGATTGGAGTTCTCCTTCCCAACCAGTGAAATACACCTTTGTGTGATGGTTAGAACAAGTAGGAGATATAATCTCTGAAACTAAGTATCTTAAACAAATAGAAGATATAACCTCTGAAACTAAGTATCACAAACAAGTAGGAGATATAATCTCCAAAACTAAGTATCTTAAATAGAGATGGGCAAGGTAATTACTTATTACGTAAAAAGTTAAATCACACTATGCGCTAATTTAGCATGTTATTAGTCATAAGTATATATTATTAGTAAATTGTCGCATAATGTGATTTGATTTTTTACATAATAAGTAATTACCTTGCCCATCTCTAATCTTAAACAAATAGAAGATATAATCTCTGAAACTAAGTATCTCAAACAAGTAGGAGATATAATCTCCGAAACTAAGGATCTTAATTTCGTTTTATAACTCGAAAGGCAGATTCTCCAGCTTGAAAGACGTGTGATGGGATTTGAATCAGAAAAAAGAAGAAAATTTTATTTTTTTTAAATTTGTTTAAATATTATTTGTATAATATTTTATTTAAGTTTTTTAGTATAAATTTTCAAAAATAAATCTTTAAATATAAAATGTTTAAAATGAATAATAAAAGTTTAGTGCAAAACGTTAAAAATAAAAATTTTCTAATGTAATGTGTTAAAAAATAAATAATAAAATGAAATAACGATAGTAAATGTTTGCAAAAGTATTATTATTTGTTACTGTAGTCTCGAAATAATGCCTCAGAAGTGTAGATTAAAATTTTGGCCTGAATTAATTGTAATTCGGCCTAAATTATAGCTATTATTATAATTTCTGAAACATCTACGAAATCTTTTTTTTCATTTAGTAAATTACCTAACTCTTCAGAAATTACATCACTGCCTCCAGACTGAAGGTCCAAAGACAGCGATGTAATTTCTGAAAAGTTAGGTAATTTACTGAATGACCAAAAAGATTTCGGGTAAGAAGTATATGTTCCAGAAATTATGATAATAGCTGTAATTTAGGCCGAATTACGATTAATTTGGGCCAAATTTAGAACCTACACCCTGAGGCATTATTTTAAATTAACTTATCAAAACGATAAAATATCAATCTAAAAAATTTTGCCAATCAATCAGATTTCAAGATCAGGTGTAACTTAAAAGAAGTCTAAATAAAAAAACACTTATATGTAGCTTAAAATTTTGCCTATGAAAGTGCCTTCTGCATACTAACAAAAAATTTTTCTTAAGAAATTTTATTATAACTATAGCTCTTTAAACCAAATACCAACTTACTGGTAAGACCCTAACCCTAAACTAATTGTGATATTTTTTTTCTTAGTGAAAATTTTTTAATAATGAGCAAAATTTTTTAGACTGGCATTGCTAGCTCTATACAAAAAAAATGATACAAAATTATGCAATAAAAATTGCTCCAAGATCATAGGAAGACAAATGTCTGATTGGCTAATTTTTGTAACTACCCCAAGAGCACTACCAAAAATTATTGGTAACACAAGATTTGTATTACATTTCAACCAATAGAATTTTGCATACTTAATCACGATATTTGTGTTCAATTCTAGCCAATAATATTTTACTAACAATTTATCAGATGTATATATGTACATAAGTAGTATGTTTCATTTTTAAATTTTGTGTTACATTTAGATCACTTTACTTATCACTAATATTTATAATGAAAGTGTTTGCTAAAACGTAAAAAAAATTTTTACCAAATTAAATGATGTCTAATAGCATGCGCAAGTGTGATCGATGTAATAGAAGTTTAAAAAAAACAGCTTTTGTTAGTAAAACTGAAAAGCCTACAAAAATATGTTGTCAGTGTCAAAATAAAGATTTAAAAAATTACTACACCACAAAGTTTAATAAAAATATATCTTGTGATCAAAACTCTATTGTCCAAAATCCTATTATTCAAAATCCTATTGTTTAAAGTTCTAATATTCAAAATCCTATTGAGCCAAAAGAAATAAAAAAACAATTATTTAAATACATTCTTCAAATTGGAAATGATGAACATATGGAAAATGAAAATTTGGATATAGAATTTTTGTGTAAAATATTAACTACTTCATTAAAAAATAAACCTCATGAACTTGGAAAAGCAATTGCTGAAATAGTAGAATCGACTGATAGATATTACTATATGTATGTGACTACTAATTTGCTCTAATAGTAATATATATAACATATTTGGATATTATCAAAAGAAAATTTGCAATTAGATTTATAAATTATACACAGTATAACATATAAATTAATTACAAATTTTCTCTTGATAATACTTATTTAGTATTATATATTTACTAATAAGATCAATATTATTTAATTTTAGTTATAACAAAGTCTATAGATCTTAAAAAAATTAGAATAAATATAGTTATTATTACAACTGTTTGCAGAGTTGTACTTTAGCTAAGCATTCATGAAAACATGATGATTCTAACAAACAATGTGATAGAGAATATATTGATCAGTTTACTTGTAATAGTATTTTAAAGATATTACTAGATATGGAAATAAATATAGTAACAGTTGATCTTTAGCATAATTTATTTTATAAGCATCCAGATCGATTTAATGTAACTGATGATATTAAAGTTGAAATCCAGAAAAATATTCATTGTACATCTGTAGATATCTTTAGACAATTGGAACAACAAAATCTAAACCTAACACAAAAACAAGTCTATGCATGATGGACTTATTTTCTAAAAAAGGAATATGAACATGATTATAATGATCAATTAAATTCAACAAAAATTCTTGTGGAAGAAAAAGAACTTAAGATGATTTTAATCAATGATCAAGGAATCAAATACTTGGGCTTTATAACACTATTCTTCAAATTATTAAAAAATAATAATGAAATTATTATGAATGCTATGTATAAAATGAATATTTTAGGATATGAGTTATATGCAATCATTGGTCAATATGATGGAGCTGGTTTTGCACTTGTATATTTGTTTGTTAAAAGGGTTAAAAAAAATAATGGTGCATGCATAAGCATTTTAACCTTATTTTTTGAATCTTTATTTAAGTTAGAATTAAATAATATTTATTTTATTCTAATAGATAAAGATTTTTTAGAAATTTCTGCTGCACAAAAAGTTTGGCCAAATGCCAAAATTCAAATTTGCTTTTGGCATATTAAGAGAGCACTTAAAAAACGTCTTATGAATAATATATATCCAAAAATAATTAATTATAGCTCATATTCTGTTCATAAGGTATTTGAATTTATTGATATTAACTTTCATCCAATGCCACCATCACAAATAATCTCAATGCAAAAAAAAAGTTTTTGTTTTTGTTTCAAAGAATTACGAGATTCAATCATAAATATAATAGAACAACATATACATTTACATTCTTTAATCCCCAATACTAGCAGATGTTATTTAATAGCACATGAAATCTGGAAACAATCAACTAAACAAATTTATGAATTTTGCGTTTATCATAATTTAAAATTGCTATGGATTTATTTGTAGGAACATTGGTATTGTAAAGAACTTTGAGTATTGTAGGCACGTTCTGCATATGACAAAATTTGCATATTTCATACTATAATATTATGTAAATTATATTGGAAAGTTATTAAGCAGGATTTTCTGCCTAAATTTTTTAGGCCACATCTTGATTTATTAACTTATATAATAATTACTCATTTAATTCTACACCAAAAACAGCAATATAACAAATATTATAATAAGCATAAAAAACCATCCTGGAGAAAGGATTTTAAAAAAAAGTGGATGTCACTAAAAAAAAAAATGATTAATAATTATTATACTATTGATATTGAAAAATGGATCTGCAGATGTTTGGGATTTTTGACCAATCAGTTTTTTCTCTGCAAACATCTGGTTCAAGCATCCCAATTTGTCATTAATAAGTCTTTTTTTAAAGATATTCAATAGCAAGAAATTTATCCTTTTATATTTTTACTATTACAATTACAGGTTCAATCCTCAACTACGCAAATCATGCATTCAAGTACAGGTAAGAAAATAAGTTAAAATTTGTAATTCAATTTATTTTGCAAAATCGATTTTATAATATGTAATATAATTAAATTCTGTAATATATTTATATAGTTGATGTCCTCAATAATATTACAAATTTAATTTTGAATGATGATGAAAATAATGAATCACTTCAACTATTCAAGCAATATAAATTAGTACTTTATGATGCACTTGAAATCATGCAAGAACAAGAAAATGCCAATAATATTCAATGGGCACAAGTTGTCCAAAAAAGTTTTAAGGGTGTATAAGATTTAGTAATGGATGTTAAATCATATAAAATAAGAATAAATAATCCATGTATTTGGAAAAACTACAACAAACACATGATGTTTTTAAACTAATAAATGTAAATATATTTAATAAATAATATTTCTTACTATTTTTACTATAAAAACTATTATGAGACTTAAGTATTAAAAGTTTTTTTTTTTATGATGATAGCTATCAATCTTTTAATCCTAACTAGAATCAGAGGTATGTGTTTTTTTGCATTCTTGTAAATATACTGATTGTACAATTTACAATAAAATAATCATTATCATTAAAGCACAATTCTCTTAAATAAGCTTCAGTAGTTGAGAACAAAAGCAAGAATTTTCAAATGATCAAACAATGATTTAATTTGATATTAAGAGACATAATAACTTTTAAGCAAAATTTCTTTAAAAAAGAAAATTACCTCTTTTTAAATTGATTTTTTTTTTTTTAAAAAAAAAACTTTTATCAATCTTGTTTTTTTAGTGATGTAAATGAATTAAGAATGTAATTAGCAGGCATTTTAATTAGATAAATTTAAGACTTTTCAAAAGACTGGCATAAATAGCTAGATGCTTAATTCTTTGACATTCGTTGATATTCTAATTTTAATAATCACATATTTCTCTTTTAATGTTTAATATAATTTTTTAGTTCAAAGTTACTTCATATAAGAACGTTTAAGTACCCGGGTAATTTATTTATACACTTAAAGTACTTTTTGAGAACATAACATTTTACTAACGCTAATACGGTAAAAATTCTTTGTTCAGCTATCATTACAACTTTATATTATATAAGAACGTTTAATTATTCGGGTAATTTGTTTATACATTTAAAGTATTTTTTGAGAACATAACATTTTACTAGCGCTAATACAAATTACTCTAAAACCATTCATAGCTTTAAATAAATGTTAATTAATATCTACTGCATAAATGGATCCGAAAAAGATTTTGACCAACTTAAAAGGTGAATACATTTCTATTTTACCTTTTGTTGTACTAGAGTATATATGTAAATAAGTAATCAAAAATTAAAAAATGTTTGCAACTATTCATTATATCAATATAACAATCTTATATTTGGCGTAAATTATCGTTGGGTAAATAAGTATTCTTAATAAAATGTAGATAAATATTAATATTCACTGTACGTACGTACATACGTACTGAATTTTTTGTTTAATTCTGATTGGTCGAAATGTAGTACAAATCTTGTGTTACCGATAATTTTTGGTGGTGTTCTTGGGGTAGTTAATTTTTGTAGATCTACCCGTGATAATTAACTAATCAAATTATGATAATTAGTCAATCAAATAACGAAACTTTATACTAGCAAAGCTTATATACTATACTTTATTTTTCATAAACTATATGTTCGAGAAAAATCCTATTTTTAACTATTACTGCCTTCGCTAGAGACGTTACTATCTTCGAAATACATTATTAATTAGCAATATCACTTATTTACAGTATAAACCTAATTATGAATAAAATCGTGAAACGTTGGGTAATTGATTTACATCAGCCAATCAGATGTTTGTCCTCCTATGACCGAGGGCAGGGTTGGCAATGGATAAGGTCCATTGAGAAAATTATCAATGGAACCAATGGAATGTATCCATTTGCTTTATTGACTCACTAATCATATTTATATTATTAATTTATTCTAATTTATATAATCACTAATAACTTTTGATCCACTGATCTGTTTTGAATGTTTTAACATCAAAATGTTCGTCTTGATGAGAGGATTCTAACAAAGTCAAAATCGCTAAAATACAATTACAGGATCTTAAGATAACTCAAATTTTGTGTAAATTTAATAAGAATTAAAAACTCATCAAAATATACACAAACTTGAAGAATCTTGGGATTCTGTAATTGTATTTTAACGATTTTGATTTTTACAGAATCCTCTCATCAAGACGAACATTTTGATAGTTAAAACATCCATAATGGACCAGTGGATCAAAAGTTATCACTGAATTTATAAATTAAAATATATAACTCAATATATATATTATATAATTTATAGTACTTATAGTATCTTGTTGGCTCCATTGACAAATTATTCTCAATGAAGCAATGGACCAATGTCAATGGAGGTCTACTCCATTGAGCCCAATAGATAAATGTGCCAACCCTGCCAAGGGGGTATCCTTCACCCGGTGTGCAACATATAAAAAAATTATTTTACAATACCGCTAGATTAATCGTGTAACATCGACGGTTCCTCCTGTTGATGAATTCTCAATCTTCAACTCAAAGAACGTGAATTTTGGCCAGCATTAAGCTTAATTTGGGCCAAAATACCCATGCTTGCTATTTCGAGATTTTACAGTCGACTACGTAGTCGATTTTTAGTTAGTCGACTAAAATTTCTTATCCTTATCATTGACGATCTAGAAACGGTAACTGAACAAAGCAAGGTTTTAAAAGCGACTGTATGTTGACAGAAGTCGTTCATCGTAAAAAATTGTATGAGCTTAAAAACTACTTTGAGGTAGGATAACGGTCTCTTAAGAAACTAAAAAGTACATTTTTATTTGCTAAAATTATGATTTATCAATTTTATAGGATTTATACGTTTCTCTGAAAATTAAAAACAAAATTCGTGAAGCTAGTAAAAATTAAAATCCTGCTTACTATATTAATTAGAATTTTCTTGCTAACGAGAGTTGGCTATTACAGTAAAACCTCTATAAGTGTATGATTTTGGGACTTAAGAAAAAGTGTATTTTTGGAGGTCATGTATATATTTAGGCCGAATTTAAGCGTGCATTTAGAGAGGGCATGCACTTATGGAGGTTTCACTGTATAAGTATAAATATGGAAGCAACTAGAAACCATGGAACAGACTCCGGACTTTAGAATCAAAAAACCTAAATGAATTTTTCATAGCATTTAATAGTAACATATCAAGATTGAGGCCGTAAAAAATCTTATAGAAAACACTTAGAATGTACTTATACAGTGAATTATTTTTATATATTTAATGGTACCGTATAGCACTGCATATAGTACCCGAGGTCTTATTCAAAACCTTGACTTTTAAAATTGATTAGTACCGGGTACTATTCATGGATCCGATGATTTCATTAGTGAAGAGGGAGGGTATTTTATGTGGTAGGATTATAGATGCTGGTGAAACTTGGTGAAACTGGTGAAATTTAATATAGCACCAATCAGATTTTAGGTAGCCACCAGTTATGTTTTCTGCATTCTGATTGGTCAATTTTGACTTTAAAATATTTTTAACCGTCCCAACTGGAAATTAAGATTTGTCGTGTTTACAAGTTTAAACTAATAAAATAATTCAAAATCTAAGATAGGTGAACGTGTCCCATTTAGAATTATCCACTTATTGGCATTTTCTTAAAACAGATTCTTTAGTATATATTATCATTAATTAAATTTTGTATAGTCTTTAAAGTATAATTAATAAAAAGATACAAAATAATTTAATCAACTTTTTCGGTTTTATAGTTATTTCCCTCACTGAATAACATACGATTACTCTCCTCTCTCGTTTTTAAATAACCTTCAAGGTTTTCCCCATCATATCCCATAGCTTCCAATTGTTTTTTTCCGATTAACAACCCTATAGGCACATTATCATCTTCATCTTCATCCCGCCTCTTACTATACCTATTGTTCTGAGATTGTTCTTCGTAGGCAACCGAAAATTTTTGATGATTTTTTTTTATATAACGTCTGGTTGATTGATCATAATCGTTTCTATCATCATCACTTCCTATATTCCCAGGATAATTATCATCATCAAAGTCGTCGTATTCAATTGTTTCTATTTTTTCATTTTCATGATCAGAGTATTCATCACTATAAGAATATAAAGTACTACCATCAGAATTATGATATGGATCGTCTATACGTTCATCTTCACCTCCGCACTCATAGTTATTAACTAACGCAGCACGTTCTTCTAATGAAATGTCCCTAACTAAATACCCTTCACTATCTCTTCGAACAAATGGTCGAGAATATTTTTGATTACGAGAGTTAGAATTATAATGATCATTATAATTATGCCATGGCTTTGGTGCCAAGGAAGAAGTAGTAACTGTTGGATCTTTTGGTGGCCATATAATTGTTGGGTCTAAAGAAAAGAAAAAATTGTTGTAATTAAGATAAATCAAAAATACTTTAATTAAATTTTAATATAAGTTCAACCCTAGGTCCATAATGAATATGTTAAATCTAATTTACACAAAATTAAGTATTTTTTATAGAATAAATAAAAGAGCATAAATTTCAATATTCTAAAATTCTATATAGAATTCAACAATAATTATAAGAAGTACTAAATATATTCTCAGTTTAAAACCAAGTTTTCGAAAAAATTAATAAACTGACCCTTATTTATATTTTTTATTATGATTATTATTAACATTAAACTATGAAGTCCATATCCAAATCCGATTCGTCTGTCGTACCTGCGTCTTTTGAAATTGGGAAAGATAACCCAGTACCCTTAATTTCTTGTGGCCAGCACCATAATAATGGATTATCGCCAAGATTTGCTCGAATATTGTCTATGATGCCAATATCATACGGAAAAGTTACCTAATCAAACAAAAAAAAATTTTCAAACTTAGGTAAGAATTGAAAACACATAAATTTACAAGTTTATTGAATAATTCATATTTTATTAACTAACCTCTTTAATTTTACCCCTTCGAACCATTGTAGCAACTTTATCTTTTTCCCAATTTTCTATCGTCGTTGTATTTGTCCACATACAATAAAAGTGATACATGCTTAACATGCCAACGGAAAAAAGTACAGGTAATACAGCCGCATAATTTAAAATTAAAAAGATCATTTCTACGGTTGATGGTTCTTCGACATCAAACTAAATAACGAAATTAAATCAGTGAAAAAGATTCAATGAACTATAAATTCATGTAGTAATAATATTTAATTAATATTATTCTATTAATATATATACCCTGACATAAGATATATCT